TGCCAATTTTGGTACTTCTCCATTTATTTATTTTTTTTTTACTATTCTTGCAATTGACCAATTAAGTTAACTAGCAATATACACACCGTTAGACTAATTGGTTTTGTATACAAACACTGTTAGCTCAACTATTCAGTTTTTGGTATTTCCACTTTACCCCTATAAGATGTAGAGTATGTAGTAGTATATGTGTTATTATGTTTGTGTCAGAGAACAAATCTTCTAGTATCGCAATCTATAGCTAACATAAACATATGATCGATATATATATTAATGATAATAATTAATGTTAGGAATAAAAAAGAAAGAGTAGAGCGAAACCTTTGTTATTTGGATTTGAAGAAAGAGAAAAGGGGTTTTCTGGGTAGAACTTCAAAAATCTACAGAAGAATTCGAAACATGTCAAGATGTCAAGCGAAAGAGGCTACTACAATTGTAAGTCACCATATTTTTTTTTCCAATTAGGGTACTTTACAAAACCTAAATTCTTCTGGTTTCATGTTTCTGCAACTCTCCCAAACCGAATGTTCGCCGCTGGACATAAGCTTGTGGGGATTCCTGCAATAGCATATCACCTATGTGGCGGGACTCGCGTTATTCTCAATGCTTTGGAAGAAGAAGAAGTTGTGTATCTACGAACCGTTTTTGTAATTCTAGCGAGTTGCTCTGAGTTAACATAGTTGAGTCAACTCACTGAGTTAACTCGGTGGATTGGTTTGAGTCGATTCAGTAAGCTAAGTTATTTGTTATCGGCTATTAGATTTGTTAGATGTTTAACGATAACAAGTTAAGTAATTTTTTATCGGCTATTAGACTTGTTAGATGTTTAACATTAAGGTTTGCAGAATGTTGAATGTGTTAAAATATAGTATGGATAACAAAACATATTACCGGTAACTAAAATGTTATTCTCTATTATATATGTTAAACATCTAACAATGAGTTTAGAAGACTCATTCGAAATACAAAGATAACCATACTACAATTCTCTAGTGATTTTGATCAAAGAAAATGATAACCCACCATCGAACATCTCAATCTCACTCACAAAGTTAAGCATTGTGAACTCCACGTCCCATATTTGCTCTTACGTGATATAATCAAAGAACTAATTTATTATGGACTATAACACATGTTACATGTTTAACATTGGGTTTTGCTAGGTATGTTGAATGTGTTGAATCATTAAACGTCTAACAATAAATGTTACTGATAAATAATATGTTACCTGTAATTTTATATGTTGACGGTCTAATAACAATACATGTTACTGATAAATAATATGTTACCCGTAATTTTATATGTTGACGGTCTAACAATGAATTTAGAAGATTAGTCTCAAATTCAAAGATAGTCATATTTATGAACTTATATCTTTGATAGCTTCTGAAANGTAATTTTATTGTCATCAATTAGACTAATTCGTGGATAACAAAATAACATTTTTCCTAAGTAATGTATAATGTGTTCAATTATTAAACATTTAACGATACATATTACCAGTAAATAAATTGTTTTCGCTATTATACATGTTAGAGATCTAAGAATTAATTAAGAATAAAACTCGTTTTACAAAGTAATATATAAATTGAACATATACGATCATTAAACATATGAACATACATATCACCGCCAACTAAATTGTTATCCGCCATTTTTTATGTTAGCAGTATAAGACCAATTCTAAAATCAAACATATAAGAACATAGGTAGCGACCAATAAATTCACTGATTGAGTCTGCTCTTAATGAGTCAACTCACTATGTCAAAGCAAAACGAGTTAGCGATAACACCAAATCTTCAAAATGATACATATGCACCGAAAAATTGACAGAATTAGCCGTCGTTGTTAAAAAGGATGGTGGATGTAGAGGAAGACGAAGACGTAATTCCGGTGGAAGAGGACACAGCTTTGACGGAGGAAGACGCTGTTTCGGTGGAGGAAGATGCAGTTTTTGTAGAGGAAAACGTGATGGAGGAGGAGGTGGCGAATGAGCTTATCGGAGCTCTTTCTTCGCTAAACCAATCTGATTTTTATTTTGCTTATATTATCTCCATAGATTTAGAGGAAAGAGAAAAAAATAAAAGAAAAATATGTATAACAGACAAATAATTAGCTACTTAGATGTCTATATTTCATATGAATTGTATTGTATGTATCGATTATAGATATAGGTTGCAAAACTAAGAAGTAAGAAGGTTTTTGTGCTAGCTTCGTTTTTGTATACTTTACCAATTCAATGTTATTTTTGTATATCTTTCTACTTAGCATAAAACGTGTGTATATTGAGCTAGTTAACTTTATTTAATATAGTTTCACCAATTTCCTAAAAATCCACTAATTTGTCTAATAAATATTTGAAATTTCATATAAAAATAAATAAATAAATACGTGAAATAACGAGTTAAAAAACTAAGCAAAGAACTATCCCTTGGGTTTGTTACGAAACGGTGCGTTTAGGATTCTCGGTGGCTTTTCAACCCATGGCGGAGGGAGCGAAGTCGTCGTCCTCATCTCAGCCGGTAAACCTAAATCGTC